GTGAATAACGTTTATAAACAATTGAAGCTCCATACAATCCCATGTGTTGCAGCTTAAAACCCACTCAGTTGCAAGCAGATAACGTCATGCTAAAGAAATCACAGCATTTGTGTGGCTTGCGAAGCCTGTTTTAGCCACACCCGAATTCCAAGATGCGTATCTCCCTTAGAGAAACCACAAGCAAGCGTGTGTACTGTGCGGTGAACAAATCATTGCAGGGGGAAGCCGAGAATACCGAGAAGAGGCATGCTAAGTGAGGCTGCATTGCGAGGACTAGGACCTTCGCTGGTTTCTCCCAGGGGGAAGCAGCCGTTAATCCAGGGCATCATATAAAGGTTGAAAACCATTTTCAGTATATGGGGAGTTGCTGCCATTTCTGTCTTTCTTTATAGAACGAACCTGATGAAATGTGCTCTGGGAGTAAACCTGGCTTATCTTGTACACCTGCTCTTTTGATACTTGAGCCCCTGGGGGTTTACCGCCCACTTTCATAGCTCCTCGTTGCTTTCAATCTTCCGGCTTCCCATTCACAACCCCGCATTCATCACACAGCGTATTTCGGCTGCCTTCCTGTTCACCTCAACTCCCGAATTCCGCTTGGAGTCCTCAGGAACGTGTGCACCATCTGTCCTGTGCCTCCTCGTTATTCCTCCTCTCACCTCCAGAGATTTTTTTCTATCCAATCCACTGCTGGCATTTTCTCCCACGGTCACATCCTGGACATGGTCATCGCCTCTTACCACTTCTGAAAAATATGTCCAAACATGCTACGTTTTCAGCTCAAGTGCTCCCACTGTGGAATTCTTCCCTATCATCATGACCCCCTCCAGTGCATGACTCCCATGCCTCTCTCAATGCCTACAGCCTCTTCTTGTCTTCTTTCTGTCTTGCTTAGTCCCTGTGGTTCATCATTAGAATCCATGGCCTTGTTTCTCTTCCACCTACCACACACTCCTCAGAGAAAACTTTCAGGTTTTCCAGTTTTAACTGTTTTCTAATTTTATTATCATTTCTTTCTTGATACAGGTGTTATTTACAGGTATCTCTTAATATCCAACATAAGGAAATTTCCTCGTAATCTTTTTGTTGTTGATTTTGAGCTTAATGCATTATTATCAGAGGACTTACTCTGATTTCAATCTTTTTAGATATACTGAGGTTGGCTTTAGGACCCACCATGTGGTCAGTTTTAGTGAAGATTCTATGTGTACTTAAGAATGTGTATTTTGCAGTTTGGGGCTCAGGGTCAAGTTTGCAGATCATGTTATTCAAGTCTTGTTTATCCTTACTGACATTTTGCCTGTTTGTTCTATCGGTTACTGAGAAAAATATGTATCAATTATCCCACTATAATTGTGGACTATGGGGAAGGCCTGACTTTGTCACGGATTACTGGAGGATATAGAAGATTCAAGGGAAGGTTCTGGAAAGACTGATCACTTGAAAGTGACACTTGACTTTTCCTCCCATCTCCTCTCCTTCTATCTGTCTAAATTATTTAACTACCCTAATATCCTCCTGAGAGATACCATTTAAGTGTCTAGTAAATCATAAGTGCCATCGAAAATTATTTTTATTTTATGAGAAGGGATTGATGTTTTACTCTAGAACAATGCAGTGATTCTAACTTTATACTTGCAGACAGTTGGATATATTTATGTTTAACTGTGCCTGGCATTCCTGGTATGAACTATGCATCCTCTCTTCTACTTCTCAGTATTAAAGAATCTCTTTGACATTTGCCTGTGCGAGGTAGTTTAAAAGGCATAGGAGTTGTCTACCCTACATAACAAATTACTATAAAACCTTTAGAATCACAAACATTCATCTATCTCGGTGTTTGTGGTTTAGAATTCTGGGCATGGTATAGCTGGGTAACTCAAGCTCAGAGTCTCTCAAAATGTCTCTCATCAAGGTGGCCACTTTGGCTGTGGTCATCTCAAGGCTTCTGTGGGGAGGGATCCACTGTGAGCTCACCCCTACGGCCACTGGTGGACTTTGCTGGCTATTGGGTGGAGACGTGAGTTCTCTGCAGCATGGGCGGCCATCCCCAACGGCAGCTGGCTTCCCTCAGAGTGAGCAAATGACAGGGCAAGAGAAGACTCCCAAGATAGAAGCCAGATGTATTTAAAAATAAATAAATAACATATAAATAAATAAAGCCATATCTCTTTAAAAATGAGAAGCCCTTTAGAGCAGTTTTAGGGTTCCAGCAACAGTGAGCATCAAGGACAGAGTCTTCCTAGACCCTCTACCTCCATCCACACACAACCTCCCACACTGTCGACATCCCCCACCAGCGTGGTACGTTGTTACAACTGATGAGCCTACCTTGACACATCATTATCAGCCAAAGTCCCTGGTTTACTTTAGATGTCACTCTTGGTTTTATACATCTTACTGGTTTTGACCAATGTATAATGGCACTGTAGGATCATACAAAATAGTTTCACTGTCTTAAAGATTCTCTGCTCTGCTTATTCATCCCTCCCTCTCCCTACCTCCTGGCAACCACTGATTTTTTACAGACTCTGTTGTCTTGTCTTTTCCAGGGTGTCCTCTAGTAGAAGTCATGCAGTATGTAGACTTCCCAGATTGCCTTCTTTCACTTAGTGACATGCATTTAAGTTTCCTCCATGTCCTTTCCTGGCTTGATAGCTCACTTTTAGTGTTGCATACTATTCCATTGTTGGATGTACCACCGTCTATTTAACCATTCACCTACTGAAGGACATCTTGGTTGCTTCCAAGTTTGGGCAAATCATAGTCTTTCTGTAACCTCATCTTGGAAGTAGCATCCCATTACTTCTGTGGCATTCAGTGCCCTGGAAGCAGGTCAGTAAGTCCAGTGCACACTCAAAGGGAGAAGATTACACAAAGGTATGAAGACCAAGAGAGGAGGATCATAGAAACCATGGAGGTTGTCTTCCATGCCAGGGGGGAGACAAATGTTTACAGCTATCTTGACAATGCCCAAGCAGCCAGGCCAGTTACAGAATGCCCTTAATAGGATCTGTGCCTGAAAAAGACTCCATCTTGTTTTGATATAACATCACATACCAACGTACTGAAGACTAATGAGCAACACAGTGAATGTACCTGGCCCGACTGCGAACGATCCTAAAGCAAGGCACGCACTTTAACATCTGCTGCCAGCTCATTTTCCTAAAAAAACAAAATCTACTCCTGGCACATTTTCTTGGACAGCTGCCCATCCTGTTCAGGTTTTCCAAAAAGGAATTTCCCAATTAAAGTGTGTTTTTCCACTCCTCTCTGTGCTGCAGGGGGGTATATCATAGAGGGGAAAAAACCCCATAAATAAAATAATTCCAGTATCACTGCATATCATTATATCTCTTATATCATGTCACATATATAAAATGGCATTGGAATTTTTTTTTTTAATTTTATTTATTTATTTGACAGAGAGAGAAAGCACGAGCAGGGGGAGTGGGAGAGGGAGAAGCAGGCTCCCCGCTGAGGAGGGAGCCCGATGCGGGACTCGATCCCAGGACCCTGAGATCATGACCTGAGCCGAAGGCAGACGCTTAACCATCTGAGCCACCCAGGTGCCCGGCATTGGAATGTTTATATGAATTCAGGACGTACAATTTTATTCTTTGTTGTGAAATTTTCTATTATTGATTCTCAGCTGAAAGGGTGAAATCTCAGCTCATAAGGGTGAAAATCTGGTGCTTTCTTTCCCCCTCAGATCCTAAACTCCTCTATACTCGCCCAACATTTGGTGGGAAAAGTGTGAAACCATCTCTTGGTGGAAACAGCAGATTGACATGCTTATTTACAACTTTTTTTTTTTTAAAGATTTTATTTATTTATTTGACAGAGAGAGACACAGCGAGAGCGGGAACACAAGCAGGGGGAGTGGGAGAGGGAGAAGCAGGCTTCCCGCTGAGCAGGGAGTCCGATGCGGGGCTCGATCCCAGGACCCTGGGATCATGACCTGAGCCGAAGGCAGACGCTTAACGACTGAGCCACCCAGGCGCACCTATTTACAGCTTTTAACAGTGGAATTCCTTGACTCTGAGAAATGTTTCCAAATGCAATAGATCCCCTGCCCCTTGCCTTATTGGATTGTTATGTCCAAGCTATGTATGTCCTCAGGTTAAACAGGTTGGTGATTTCTGCCTTAGAGGTTCTCCCGCAGTTAGAAAGCAATAGCACCACAACACCACAAGAGGGAGCACAGAGCCACAGAAGCATCTCATTGATTGTTTTTTAAGGCTAGGCTCTGCCATTCTGTTTCTATTTCCCCCATACTTGTTCCCCTTCTAATAACCCGGAGACCTTCTTCTGGACAAAGGCACGGCCAATATCTGCAGATCTCTGTAAAGACAAGGAAAATATTGCTGGGAGCAGCTTATTTCTCTTGCTGCTGACTTTCCCAGAGAACGCTCTCCAGGACTGATCGACACAGTGGTGGGTTCCTGTGTGGATGCTGAAGGCACCCTCCAGTGCTTGTCTCTGCCCTCTGATTTGCCACCAGAGCTCAAATGCCTTGTTTATGAGAATACTTGCTATGGTCAGTGATTCAAGTAGTCCTTGAATTAATTTATCATGGCACTAACGTAACCAGGTAGTACAAAGGCCAATGAGTAACTTTCAAAGTCCTTCAGTAAGCACTCAGTGAGCAAGAGAAAGGTCAGATTTAGAGCCTGGGAAATACACCTCTCTTGGAATGACATAAATAGAAATCCCCGATTATGATCCACAATCATTCATGAGTCCTTTGTGCCTGGGGAAGTTCTAAAACTCTGGGCCCCATATATGGTGGTGGCACATTGTACCTAATTACCATACAGGGTGTTTGGGGATTTTTTTTTTTTTTTCATTATTAGCCCAGCCTGGAAAAAGAATAATGAGTAGAGCTGAGTAAGATAGTTTTCCCTCAAATGAGTTAGTCAGATACTGCAGGCAGGATGTCAGGCAAAAATATAGGGAGGAGTGAATACCTTACAGCTGTGACAGTAGAAATAGGATTCCTTGAGTCCTGGCTGATGCTTACTAATACACACGGAGTCAGCAGAACAGGTTTCCAAGCTACGATCCAAAACAAAACAAAACAAAAAATCGAAAATAAATTATAAAACGTCTGCCATCAGAGTTCATTCTTTCACTGGATATTTCTGCGATAGCTCTCCTCCAAAAAATTCAAGGTGTTGTGCTAAATAAGAACGTAAGCTTAGACACTTAGAGAAAAGATGAGGGATGAAAAAGACAATCCCCAAGGTACCTTAGAAACTGAAGATGACTCCAGATGCCTGTAGAAAGAGCGATGGCTCAATCTTTTGGCATGAAGACATTTAACTGAAGGACGAAGAAGAATATAGCCAAAGCTCTGTACTACAGTGATCTCAAAAGCCAGGGGAAGCTTACTGCAACTTGGAGGACACATCAAATCTTGAATCTTGGAGTCCTCCAGCAGGTTTCAAATTCAGAATCTGTCATGATGTAATTCACCAAACTCCTCTCCCTAACACCCTTCTGCCATTAACACAGGTCCCTCGAACACAATGCTCATTTATTTATTTATTTTTGAAGATTTATTTGACAGAGAGAGACACAGTGAGAGAAGGAACACAAGCAGGGGGAGTGGGAGAGGGAGAAGCAGGCTTCCCGTGGAGCGTGGAGCCTGATGCGGGGCTCGATCCCAGGACCCTGGGATCATGACCTGAGCCGAAGGCAGACGCCCAATGACTGAGCCACCCAGGCGCCCCACGATGCTCATTTATTACAGAGAAATAGATGTCTCCAACTCACCACAAACTTGTATTCTGGCCATTGGGTCTGGGCTCCTGCCCAGCTTTAGATCTGCTCAAATCAATATGATTTCACAATCAGGCCCCCAAAGCCCAGGAACTTCTAAGAAGCAGACCAACCTTGTCTCCCGATTGAGAAGTCACTACGTCAAGGTCTAGCTCAGAAGTCTCAGCAAAAAAAAAAAAAAAACATGGAGTCCGGGTGGCTTGTCATTATCCATCTGTGCACTAGGGGAATATGAAGCTTTGATTGGTCAGAACTGGGTCACATGCCGCCTTCGGGGCCAGAGGTGAAATGAGCTCCACCTGCCTGAAGAGAGGAGAAGAGTAGATTCCCAGTTAATGTTGGAGGCTGTTAGAGAAAAAATGAATTCTGGGCAGCCCAGAAACACCACAGCCACCTCAACCAGCCCTTCTGTCTCCATAGTCTCCAGCATGGGTCCATTGGGCTTCCAGGGAACACTGGATGTCTGAAAACAGTGCAAATGGAACAACTGGTGTTGTGCAATATGGTGGCTCTGACTTTCAGCACACTGGTCATTGCTGTGTGATGAGGACCATCAATAGCTGTTTCAGTATCTGCTCATATCTTTTGGGAATTTCTATTGTCACCAAGTTACACACACACACACACACATACACACACATCTCAGGGAAAGCAGCCAAGCTACTGACAACATCTGACAGCAACAACAAAGACCTCAGATAACAACCCATCACAGTAATTGGGGAAACTTCAAGGATTGTCAGAGTGATGGGAAGCATTCATTACCATTGTTTTAAATTCATCTTAGAACAAGGCACCTTATCTATACAAAATGCACATTAATCGCTTGCTTCAAGTAAACATCTCTATTTCCCCCTTTCAGCACTATTTTTTAAAAGAGCAAATAACTTTTTACCCGCATCTGGTTCCCATATTAGCCACGTGTAATCAAATCAATGATTGAGTGATTAGGAAGGAGTGACTGTCCTTCCACAATGAGGCATCTTTCCCAAATTTTCAGAGCAACAAGGAGATAAAACAATTTTTCCCAGGAAAGACATCCTTTTTCCTCAGAGTGATTCAATTCTGCACCCACCATCTGTAACTTGTCACTGGAAAATCTCAGTCTCAGTCATTTGGGTGATCCTGAGGACACTGACTCCTGGGAACTAGGTCTCGTGATGCTCTCAGACCTGCAGTGAGCAAATGCAAGACTCCCATTCTGCGGGACTTGACGGTGCCCAGGCGAAGGGCCGTGTGTGCAAAGGGCTCTGGAGTCAGGCAGCCTGGGTTATCTTCCCAGCTCCTTAATTTACCAGCTGTGGGGGCTCCTGGGTGGCTCAGTCGGTGAAGCATCTGCCTTCGGCTCAGGTCATGATCCCGGGGTCCTGGGATGGAGCCCATGTTGGCTCCCTGCTCAGCAGGGAGTCTGCTTCTCCCTCTGCCCCTCCCCCTGCTTGTGCTCTCGTGGTCTCTCTCTCAAAAAAAACAAAAAAAACAAAAAAAACTTACCAGCTGTGTGTCCTTCAACCATTCTTTCCGAGCCTAAATTTTCTCCCCTGTAAAAGGACGATAGGATTTCTTACCTTCTCAACTTGCAATGGAAAACAAGATGGCCCACAGAGTTTGGCCAGGCCCTAAGTACTAAATTAGTCTGGATTGAGCTTTTTGATTTGTGTTTGTTTTTTTTCTTTTGTTTTTAAGTGCCCAGAAGATAAAGCTTGGCCTGAACTCTTGCTTCCATCAGGAGAAGGACTGTCATTGATAGCTTGTAGCTGCCTTAAACCGAGCAAGGTTTAAGTAACTTGGTCCTTCACCAAAAATAAGAAAACAACCAGTACTAAGGCTTCCCTCTGCCTACCAACTTGAAAGAGCTAGTGAACAAACCTTAGGCAGTCTAAAGAATGTTTAATGTACCTAACATCCTCTTTCTAGAGAGTTTGTGCTTCCAGCTTATGGTTTTATTTTTTGTTTTTTTATCTCAACAATTAGTTTTTTATTAGTATCATTTTTAAAGTTTAATTATTTGGTCTTTGTGACTCGTTCATGTAAACTTTTTTTTTTCAGTTAACAGTTTTCATTTTTTTCTTTTAACAGTCGTATTGATGCATAATTTATGTAACGAAAAAATTCCGTTTTAAGTATGCAATGCAATGACTTCTAATAAATTTACAGAGTTATGCAAACTAGGTATGTTTTCTTTGTGTGTGTTTCTACATGTGCATCGATATTTGCTGTATACATACACCTGTTCACACTGATGTATCAGCTACAAATTATTATTTTTGTTTGTTTAATATTCACAGTTAATTTCTGATTGACCCAGTTCTCTGCAGTGATGTTTGGAGTTGCATAAAAACCGAGAAACTGAGGAGCATATTAGATTATTCAGCAAATTTGACTACATGTGTATTTACGACTACTAATCTATTTTTAAAATATTTAATATCATTGCTTATTACTTGTTACACAATTCTGCCTTTAACGTGAGAATCCTACAACATTGTTTTACATTTTTCTAACGTGTCATGCCGAATGGCAAAATTCTGAATTTTCTTGGCTTTATTTTTATTTTTTATGCTTTTTAAAAGCTTTTATTTTAATTCCAGTTAGTTAACATAAAGTTAACTATATTAGCTATATTAGTTTCAAGTGTACAATATAGGAATTCAACACTCCCATACATCACCCAGTGCTCATCACGACAAGTACACTCCTTAATCCCAATCACCTATTTCACCCATCCCCTCTGGTGACTATAGGTGTGTTCTCTAAAGTTAAGAGTCTGTTTCTTGATTTCTCTCTCTATATCTTTTCTCCCCCCTTTGCTTGTGTGTTTTGTTTCTTAAATTCCACGAATGAGTAAAATCATATGGTATTTGTCTTTCTCTGACTTATTTCGCTTAGTATTATACCCTCTAGCTCCACTCATGTTCTTGCAAATGGCAAGATTTCATTCATTAGTTTACATTACTTTGACTCTTAATTTTGGCTCAAGGATTTAATATGATCCATCACAGAGTCCAAAAAGGAAAGATTCAGAGCATTATTAATAGTAATAGCTTCTATTTATTAAGGATGTACTAGACATCCTGTTCTGAGTGTTTTATGCACCTTTAATGATTATTGGAAGTAGAATATACCCACTTTACAGATGAGGAAAGAGTGGCTCAAGGAAATGAAACCACTTTCCCAAGCTTCAAAGCTTGTTTTCTTCCCCTGAGGACACTTTACAACTTCCACAATACTTGAATAAACGATCACAAGTGCCTACAAATAATAAACCTTAATTTGAATCAATACATTCTCATGATGCTTCAGAACAGACTGTAATTCTGCGTTCTGGCTGGTCTGTGTCCATTGACCACGCCAGGTGCCCACTAGTCTGTTTCTTGACAAGGTTTCCTGGGACTAGCAGTTTCTTAGGTTCCCTCCCCCTTCGCTATTCCACGGGGAACACAAAACCAGCCTAGCAATCACCTTGTATCAGTCAGAACTCCTTCAGTTATAAGGACAGAAACTTGACTCAAACTGGCTCTAGCAAAACGTACTGGCTCTTGAAACTAAGAAGTCCAAGCGAAGGCTGACCGCAGACGTGGCTCAAAGCACCCCCTCAGATGACTGCATTGGGACTCACTTTCTCTCTTCTCCTGGAAACACATCGTCTGCCAGAAGCTCCAGACTCAAAACCTCATGGTTTCAAGTCCAGTGAGAAGAAGAGTTCTTTACCTGTTTCTCAAGTGGAAGTTCTAGGATGATCTACAGTTGACCTGATCATTTGGCTGTATTACGTATTCATCCCCGAATCAATGGCTGACTCAACGGGGAGGAAATGCTCTGATTGGCCAGACCCAGGTCATGTGCCCAATTATCATTAGAGTTGACATCAGAACCTGGATAGAGAGTCAGGGACAGGTGGTGCTCCTAAAGAAAAACCAAGATACTGTTTTGTGTTTTTTTAAAGATTTTATTTGTTTATTTATTCATAAGCGAGAGAGAGAGAGAGACAGAGGCAGAGGCAGAGGGAGAAGCAGACTCCCCATGGAGCAGGGAGGCAGATGCAGGACTCAATCCCAGGACCCTGGTGTCATCATGACCTGAGCCAAAGGCAAATGCTTAACCAATTGAGGCACCCAGGTGCCCTAAGATATTGTTAACAATAGAATGAGAATGAATGCCAAATAGCAAATGTAAATTACCACAGCATAATAGGTCCTGATGCCCTACGAACCTAGGGATTCTCAATTACATATATTCTGCAGTCCAGTCACATGGAATGACAAGAAGACAGAACATTAGAAATCAAGATAATTCCTAAAATGCAGATAACAACTGCCAACATATGGACAGAGGTCTTATGTTCTGGCTACGTATGGATTTAATCAGTTAATATAAAGCACCTTTCACACAAAAATTAAGTTATGCCAGAGTCAATACCTGTGTTTCCATAGCTACGTAAAAGTGTCAATCATCCCTCTTCCCCCATGCTTACTTGGTCATGACCTTGGAAATTCCAGGCCTCAAAACAAAGAATCCATAAAGAGACTGGAGGAGCCACAGGCAAGCAGTCCCCCGAAATTTTCAGTTTATCCTAAAGAGCTAACAGAGGAGAAAGTCTCTACTCAGATGGTGTCCATATGGTTTACTTATTATGTACATAGAGTTTATGTCAAACCTACAGCCAGAGACAAGGGTGATGCAGGAGGAACTGACCAATCACCTTTCTTGGAGCTGGAATCCACCAAGAACATGATCTCAGCTAGGCACCAGGGAATGAGAGGGGTCATTGTTGGAGAAGCCAGCAGACTGGTAAGACGGAATTTAGTTTTGGGTGGATGAAACTGTTAGCACAGCCCCAATACCCTTGGTGGAATATGTTATTACAGCCTGAAAGTAAAGAGAAAGGTGCAACCTGAAAGATAGTGAATATTTTCAGAATGAAGAGTATTTAACTCTGAATCTGAATCTTCCTCAAATATAAACTGCTCATTTAAAATGCCCCAGGAATTCTAGAACTAATGATGTAATGTATGGGGATTAACATAAGAATAAAAAAAAAATTAAAAAAAAAATAAAAATAAAATGCCCCAGGATTAAGCAGGTCTCCTCAATATACTCCCTGTGCATTAGATTCCTTCTTCATAAAACAGCAAGGATGATGCCCAAGTGTATTTCAAATCTCAAATTTAATAACCAGCATTTTCTTAGAAAATGTAGCTGTCATCTATACAGGGATCTCAGCCCAAAGACCTGGCCTCAGCTCACACGCGGCACCACCCCTTCACCCGCACATCCCCGTCCGCAGGTGGTGGTGATGATGATGATGATGGTGGGGGGGGTGACAGCTCCCAGGCATCAGTCATTTACTATATGCTAGGTGCTTTTCTTTACCCAAGTGTTTTACATAAGTAATACATAAGTACCACAATTATCTCCACTTAACAGATCAAAATAACACGAGACAGAAAATAAGTAACCGGCACAAAGTAACAGCCAGGAAGTGGATCCCTCACCCACCTGTTTCACCCAATCGTCTGCTTTGTGGACATGGTAGTAAGGATCTCAATTTTCTCACTTTCGGTAACGTGCCCGTTGTTACTTTTAAAAATTGTCAGCCTTCTAATTTGGTTATGCATGAACAAGCCTCATGCAGGTAAAGGTGGGACTTAGGAGATTTAGATCATTTTTTGACAGCCACTTTCTTAGACCTACCACCGAACATCCTGTCATTGAACATCTAGAACTAGAGAAGGTGAATACTAAGAATTCACCTCAGCCACCTACCCATTCTGGGAGCTGTAGGATGTCACGCAGAGGACTCTCAGTGTCGGTCCTCGGTTCAAGCCCTGGCTCCGCCACTTACCAGCTGAGTCACTCCGAAAAGTTCTTATCTTCTCAGGATCAGTGTCTCTTCTGCAGAGAGTGAACGACATACCTCACAGTACAATATAAAACAGCTAACAGCTTCACGCTGGCACACAGGAAATGCTTCATGATAACAGCATCATATTCAGAGTGGGAAATGCTGAATCCCAAGATGATCAATGCAAGATAGCTGCAGAAGGGACAGAAAGCTCAGAAGACAGGAAAGGATTAAATTTAGAGATAGCCGTTCTATCTCTGCAAGAACTAATCTTGACTAAAATAACCCCAAATGTGCCACTTCCTCTTTCCTGGAATAAAGAATGTTTCATCTGCAAGAATTTCCATCAATGTTTCCCTTGAGCCACTCTTACTTGTACACAAACGTTTTCGAATTGTAACTGCTGGAGCCGGAGAGAAGATTGGGGTGGGGGCACAGATGAGGCAATTTGCCTCCACCTGTATCCAAATGATCTCAGTAATGCCATTTCTTGAGAAGGTACTAGGAAGTTGATGGCTGTGACTCATCACACCTCAGGGAAGTATGATCCCTGTTCCAACTCATTCGTCTTCCTTCTTGATAATATCTGCTTCCCTATTACCAAAACTATCCTTTTTTTTTTTTTTTTTGAGAGAGTGAGAGAGAGAGAGAGAGTAAGTGTGGGGAAGCGGGGCAGGGAGGGGCAGAGGGAGA